CACAGGAGCCAGGTTGAAAGGGCTCCCAATGAATAAAGAAGGTTTTGTTTGAGCATCAAAATGAAAAACAAAACAAAATAAAAACACTACAATTAAGTGTGTAAAACATAACAAATATTTTTTTTAAATCCATGAATTTACAATGATTCTTTTAAAAAAAGTAAAGTTTCTCCCTAAAAAGTATAAATATAAAGATAATATCACCTTTGAGGAAACTATAGCACCAACTCTGATATTGTCAATTACTAGGGAAATATTAAGCACTCACCCTGCCCTTCCTGTATGAGCTGTATTTCAGGGCCACCAAATACTAGCTGATGATGGAAGTTCTTTGTAAAAGAATGATAGCTAACAAATGAAGAAGGAATGATAGGATGGAGAAGGGGGGGTCACCATTTTTATAACCCCTAATCAAATAATGTATTCAGGCAATTATTATTGGTTAACAAAATTGTGAAGTTAAAAAAAAACAGATGGGGGAACTTCACAATAGGGGGATCAGGATGTTCCTCTCTGAAACATGGTCCAATGATAGCATCACTAAAAGTGGGGTAACCAAACCATATGTGCCTCCTGAGGTGGTACTCCATAAAATATACAGCAAAAGCAGAATTCTTGCCAAAATAGTTAAATCTGAATCCAATCAAGCCTCTTGAGCTAACTTCCAAGTTCTAGTAAATTTGAGTAATAGAGAAAAAAGTTAAGTAACAACAATCAGCCAAACCCAGTATGTAGAATGTTCTATTGCCAAAGTAGCTTTATTTCAAAAAGTGAATGCCTTGAGAAAAGAAAGGGAATATTCTAGATAAGAGTTTTATGGGACTCAATAGCCAAATGAAATGTATGCTCTTCTTCAGATCTGGTTCAAATAAACCAACTATAAAAAGAGAACTTTGAGATAATCAGGGAAATCTGAATATCCAATGAGTAGTAGATGATACCAAAGAAGTAGTGTTTATATTGCTAGGTGTGACATGGTAATATGGTTCTGTAGGAAAATGTGCATATTAAGATATGCCTACTGGAGAATGCAGGGGTGGGTAAGACGTGATGTCTACTTCTAATAATTCCTGAATAAATGGAGAAGAAGATAGATGAATCTGAGTGTATGCATATAGTTGTTCATTATGCTATTCTTATATAAAATTATAAGTTTGAATTTTTTCTAAATGAAAGGTATTTTCAAAATTTAGAAAACAAAAATCGGCCGGGCATGGTGACTCACGCCCGTAATCCCTTTGGGAGGCTGAGGCAGGTGGATCACAAGGTCAGGAGTTTGAGACCAGCCTGGCCAATATGATGAAACCCCATCTCTACTAAACATACACAAAGTAGCCAGGCATTGTGGCAGGAACCTGTAATCCCAGCTACTCAGGAGGCTGAAGCAGGAGGATCACATGAACTTTGGAGGCAGAGGTTGCAGTGAGCCAAGATTGAGCAACTACATTCCAGCCTGGGCAACAAGAGTGAAACGCTGTCTCAAAAAATAAAAAAATAAAGAGAACAAAACAACGTCCCTTTTTCCTACTATTTATATATTAAAACCTTGATATTAACAGTATACTCCTTTTTTTCCTCCCACTTAGTTACTTATACAGTTATACTTCTACTGAATATGTATTCAAGGTACAATTTATTTTTCAGAACTGGTCTAAATCTTTCAGGTGTTTGGGTGACTCATTTTTCTAAAATCTCACCAACCACAATGAGAAGGACAATGCACAGGCGAGAGCCGGCCTGGAGCACAGCCCTTCTCTCCAGACCAAGAATCTTCCCTTGTTCCTCCTTTGTTCCCATTTTTTTCAACAGGCGAGAAAGAAGTTTTGGGGTCTCACTCCTTTTCCCTGGAGAGAGGAGGTGGCTACTGGCCTGCCACCTCCCTTGTGTCCTTTAGCTCTTCATATTAAGTGATCCTTGAGCAGAAGAAACCCCCTGCAACTTGAGGGAAAGCCCAGGACAGGAAGAAAGAGGGCAGGGGAAATGGCGTCTGCACTGGTAACTCATGCTTGCTCTTCTCTCCATTCCACTCCTCCAGGAGGATGTCTCATGACCCACAAACGATAAAAAGGAGAATGGCAGCTTCCTCATCATGGCTGGGTTGAATACTCTTTCTCCTCTTCCAGTTTTTGCTCAACCATGTTATATTTGCTCACTGGTTAGTTTTACTTTTTTTAAAAAAAACCACATTTCAACCCATTTTATATGTCAATAACGGCTCCTAAGCCCTCCCTACATTTTTTCCTCATTTTTTCAGTCTTGGTTGTCACTTCCTCAGGGAGTTAAGGGAAATGGAATGTGAAGCTGATAATAGGAACTCCAAGAAAAGGAGATAAGGGGGTTTTCTGAAAGCATTTCTGAGTATACATGCATACACACTCTCTAATTCCTCTGACCAAAGGGCAATAAAAACAAACAAATTTCTTTCTTTCTTTTTTTTGGGGGGCATGGGGGGAGATGGGCTCTGTGAACCTAACAAACAAAATTTATGTAGAAAATGAGATATTAATCATCTGAATTTCCCCTTCAAAAAATAGTTTAGTTTCCTTCTCCTGGAGTCAAGTCATAACTCAGCAAATATGTGGAAACAAATTTCCAGGTACTTTATTTCCATGAACTTAAACTTAATAGCAAAGGGACTCATGCATATTTCACCCCTGCATGTGATCAAGTATTAGGCAATGTTAATCTAAGAAAATCCATGAGATGAAGCAAAGTAATGCAAGCAGAAAGACACTAAGATACCCAAAATAAAAATCCCATCCATTGGCCTTCTTTCCTGTTTGCCTTAATATTTAAAAACAGATACCAATCAAGAAGAGATTTACAATGTGTCTGATGTATCTAGGGGGGTAAAAATGGATACCCTGTGGCCTCAGTAACAGGCACTACCAGTTGGACTCAAAATACACTGTGGGAAAATATCCATAAATCTTGTTTTAGTAAAAAATAATGTGTTTAAAAATAATAAGAAGAAGAACCATTGTTTTGGGAGTATGTCAGTTCCCCGACATTTGAGTTTAGCTAATGAAGGCACAGAAACGCTATGCCCATAAGGACCTTTGATTTGAAATGCTTCCATGGGTAAAGTATTTTATTACCATATAAACATTTGTTTCAGTATGAAATTGACAGAAACATTACTGAATGAATTTCACTTAGCAACAATATACAGCAATCCAAGATGGGGAAAGACAAGTTTGTGATTAACTATGACTCGCTGTGACGGAGGTATGTCTAATTCTGACGGCAAGATATCTCACTGCTAAAAGTTCTGCACACATTATTGTTCACTGAGCCACCTTGGTGTCCAGAATGAGTGAGGGGATATAAAATGGACTCTAAATCCCTACAGGGATCATTCAAAAAGAAGCCTGCTTGGTGAATCAGTTTACTTCCCTGGAACCAAAACAATCAGATCAGACAACTGAACTCTTAGCTCATGAAATATTAGACTCTGAGATGACACCCTCAACATCTGGAAAAATTATGCAGATCACATCACTATGAAAATTAGATCTCCTAACTAAGCCCATAGCCTGAAACGTCTTATCTTGGAAAAGTCTTCTTACTTCATAGGTAAGCCTGGCTGGCAAGTGTCAACTTCTCAAAGCTCATATAGTTTATATAAAATAGTAAATGCTAAAATGATGGCAGAGGATAAACACTAAATTATTATATTCCTTTTATGTAATATAGTACATAAAAGTGACTTCATATACAGAGAGCAGAAGAAATTGATGCTTAACGCAGGACTCTTGAACTCAAAAGCCTACATGTCGCAGGCAGGTGCCATAATCTGAAAGATTGGTTCAGTTAAATATTTAGGGAATGCAGAATACTAGCAAAGTGCAGTCATTGATAGTAACAAGACCAGATTTTTAATCTTCCAAGAGAAGCCAGATATTTAATCTATCTGATTTTTATGTGAAGTTTCCAGATTCTCAAATGTTTCAAATTAATTTTTTTATAAAAAGAAAATGTTTACAGGTTAAAAAATTCAGTAAAAAATTTGTCCTGTGGGCTACTTTGCAAGCTCTAATCTAAAACATACTTTCAAACAATACAATAATAAAGAGAAAGCTTCTCATATAACAATGATTACACTAAATTACTGAGCCTTGGTTCCTGCTGTACCAAGAGATACCAGTCTATGCTAGGAAAGGGCGGGAGTGGCATCAGGGTACAAAAGCAGCTTTCCCCAAATTATATATGTCTGAATTATAATCACCACTACCACCACCACCCCTGTGCCCATGGAAAATAAGGTTTGACTGAAGATGTGCAGCTTGCAAAAAGCTCCCGAAGATGATTAATGCCACAAACTTTCACCCTGGCGATGGCTGACTTTGAAGTAGAAAGCTCTGGATAACCCTGAGGGGTGCAGCTAAGTTGTGAAGACCACAAACTCACTACACCTAAGATATCAAATAGTATATATCAAGTGGCTCTAAAATAATAACTGCAAATATCAAAGATGATAAAGAGACCACAGAAAGTATTACTAGTGCCACATTAGCCACTTCAGCCTTATAGGCAAAGAGAAAAGCTGACTGTCTCACTGTCTACTATGGAAGATTATAAAAACTGGATGCATTTTAAGAATGTGTACATGTAGTCACATGTGGATTTGTGGATATGTATATTAAAAAAAGCAAGAATAACATTTTGGCTATTTTAAGGTTTAGGTCTGCATGTTCATTGCCTAAGAAGGGAAAAGAAAATCAGTATCACATTACCACATGATGCCAGACTACATATAGGAAACAGAAAATGGTTACCAAATATTTTCACATTTTTCTACTTCCTATCCTTAAAAAAAAAACTCAGAACTTTTTATTATGAGGATTATGACATATTATTTTAAGATCTGACATACAAATAAGAGAAATAAAGAATTATCTTCCTGTGACTTTGTGATGTCTCACTAATCTTTTGCTATTATTAAGCACTGCCTAATCTAACCCTGCTTTTAATTTTAAGCTCGTGTTCTTCTAACTCACCTTGCACCTTGGAGTCAAAGTCTTCCAAGTCAGCTTTATGGTCAAAGCTGTTTCACAGTGGTTTATCCTCAGATGCCTGCAGCTTTTCTCTTTGGGACACAATATGTCTTTGACCTTGCTGGGGCTATCTTGGTAAATTACAGGAGCAGCTCCTTAATATCCTTCTGTTGCTGTTTTCCCAGTAAGTGGCAGAATCTGAAAAAGAGAGATTACAGGCATATAGTGCATCTTTACAGAACTTCGGTGAGCCTCTCAGGGGGACTGCCTATGGCCAATCGGAAAATTTCTTCCAATTTATCTTTTTAAGAGGAAGTTCACATGGTTACGTGCCTCAGCTTTTTATCTCCTTTGTTCACTTTTATGTAACTTCAAAGACATAACCACTGACCTTCTCAGTAATCAGTAACATTCATAATTTACGTCTTACCCAGAGCTTGGACTATGAAAACTCTCAAGTGATACAGCAAATATTTCCTAAAAGGGTACAAAATATATTTTCCAGAACCACATTCAGCCCTCCAATTAAATATGTGACACCCAGGCATATTTAATGGTGCAATGGTGCGATCTCGCCTCACTGCAACCTCTGCCTCCCAGGTTCAAGTGATTCTCCTGCCTCAGCCTCCCAAGTAGCTGGGATTACAGGCACGTGCCATCATGGCCAGCTAGTTTTTGTATTTTTAGTAGAGATGGGATTTCACCATGTTGGCCAAGCTGATCTCAAACTCCTGACCTTGGGTGATCCACCTGCCTTGGCCTCCCAAAGCGCTGGGATTACAGGTACGAGCCACCACGGGTTTTTAAAAACAGTAAATATGAAGTGATTTCATCATACATGCACGTAGATGTACAATCCCTAGTGCCCTGATAAAGACCCATTAACAGTCTCTAATTGAAGAGGAGAATTGTAGCCAAATTCCTATGACAATCCTCTAGCAAGAAGAATGGACTCTATACACACTATCAAAGAACATAGTTTCAACTTAACATAATTTCTCAAAAAGCAAAGAAAGAGTATGCTATGGTTTAGATATAGTTTGTTTGGCTCCACCAAGTCTCACGTTGAAATGTGATCCCTAATGGTGGAGGTGAGGCTTGGGGGGAGGTGTCTGGGTCACAGGAGCAGATCTCACATGGATAGCTCAGTGCCACTCTGGGGGATGAGTTCTCACTCTTATATCCCACAAGAACTGGTTGTTGAAAAAGAACCTGGAACCTCCCCTTCTCCTCTCTCTCTCTCTCTCTTGCTTCCTCTGTCACTGTGTGATCTCTGCATAACAGCTCCCCTTCACCTTGTGCCACGAGTGGAAGCAGCCTGAGGTCCTCATCAGAAGCAGATGCTGGCACCATGCTTCTAGCACAGCCTGTAGAACCATGAGCCAAATAAACCTCTTTTCTTTAAAAATTACTTACCCTCAGATATTCCTTTATGACAACACAAATGGACTGCACCACAGTATTTTCACAAGATAATAAACAAATTCACCATAAGATAAAAGAAAAATCTGACAAGTAATCCAAAGTAGAAGTTACTCTCTGATCCTGAAACATGACAGATATTTTTTCCTTCCAGCCATAAACCTCTCTAGCAAGCTTGTTTATTCACAAGATAGCTTTAAAAATCACTCCCCAGGTTTGATTTCTTTTTTCAAGCCTATTCTTTCACTCTGTTTTAGTTTTCCTTTTTTTCTTATTGAGAAGGGGAAAATGGACACACAAGCACATGTATACACACACATATTGTAAGACTATGACTTAATGAAACTACAAAAGGTGTATGTTCAGCCAGCATCTGGTGCCATGATTGCTCCCTTAAGTACCATCATTCTGCAAAAGTTTTTGTTCTAACTCCCCTTCCACTTCTTTAAAGAAAAAAAAAATTCTACTGTGTTGTAAGACAATTCTGTGTACCTTGTAAGTCCTGAATAAAATTTAATTGTTGATTATGATGATGACATTGAATACTAAGGTTAAGGTCCATCAGGGTTCTTTTTGTATGCTCAGCATTGCATCTTTTTATTTTCTGTGAACACTATCAATCTATGCTCTTTAATCTCATTTAATTATAGGCAGACAGAACATGAATAGTCAGCCAGAGAAACTTCCCTAGCAGGCAGGGCGCAGTGGCTCATACTTGTAATCCCAGCACTTTGGGAGGCCAAGGTGGGCAGGTCACCTGAGGTCAGGAGTTGGAGACCAGCCTGGCCAACATAGTGAAACACCGTCTCTACTAAAAATACAAAAATTAGCTGGGCATGGTTGTGAGTGCTTGTAATCTCAGCTACTTGGGAGACTGAGACAGGAGAATCATTTGAACCCAGGAAGCGGAAGTTGCAGTTAGCTGAAATCATGCCATTGCAGTCCAGCCTGGGCAACAAAAGCAAAAACCCATCTTAAAAAAAACAAAAAAAAACAAAAACAGAAACCCCCTTAGCCACTTTTTCTTTGCTCCTTCCTATGATGAACTCTGCCAAGCTTTGGGAATGGAGGAGACACTAATAAACTAAGAGAAAAAGGAAAAGACATGCTAAAGAGTCTTCTGTGCTACCCTGCAGCTCGTTTTGCTCACTCACCCCCATTCCTCTGTTCTAGTCTGATTCTCCATAAGTTGTTAGCATTCTAAAATGGCAAGTGGGAAGGTAAAGCAGAACAGAAGACCATGGGGGTAAGATTAAGACTTCCTTTTCTTCCCGTTTCCTCCACTAAGCAGCAGCAGAGGGGAGGGATAAGACAGGTTGAATCTCACTAACCATACCTAGGGAATTCCTCTACCCTCTTCCATCACATCACATCTGCTGTGTGGTTTGTCCTTGGCTGCTGCCTAGGTAAATCAAACCTTAGCCCAAGGAGCATCCATTTACTTCTTTCACCGTAGTCTTTGCCAATATATTCTTCAAAATCCAGCTCAAAACTAAAACTCCCAACTGCTTCACCAATCTTCCCAGTTAGGAATAAGAAGCTGCTGAGTACTTTTGGTCAGTACTATTTGTGTGAGGCTGTCCTGGCCTTGCAGTTTCATGTGTGGACTGTGTCTCTCCTACCACACTGTGTACACTCTGGGAAGCAGGGACTGAACCTTAATTTCATGTGCACAATTTTTTTCCTTTTAAAGTTCAAGGGTACATGTACAGGATGTGCATGTTTGTTACACAGGTTAATGTGTAGCATGGTGGTTTCCTGCACCTATCAACCAGTCCCCTAGGTATTAAGCCCCACATGTATTAGCTATTTTTCCTGATGTTCTCCTACCCACCAACCCCCCACAACAAACCCCAGTGTGTGTTGTTCCCCTCCCTGTGTCCATGTGCTCTGATTGTTCAGCTCCCACTTATAAGTGAGAACATGCAGTGTTTGGTTTTCTGTTCTGTGTTAGTTTGCTGAGGATAATGGCTTCCAGCTCCATCCATGTGTCAAACACAGACACACAGACCAATGGGACAGCATAGAGAACTCCAAAACAAGACTGCACATCAACAACCATAGGATCTTTGACAAACCTGACAAAAACAAGCAATGGGGAAAGGATTCCCTATTTAATAAGTGATGCTGGGCGAACTGGCTAGCTCTATGCAGAAAATTGAAACTGGACCCCTTCCTTAGACCTTATACAAAATTTAACTCAATGCAGATTAAAGACTTAAAACCTAAAACTATAAAAACCCTAGAAGAAAATCTAGGCAATACCATTCAGGACGTAGGCACAGGGAAAGATTTCATGACAAAAACATCAAAAGTGGCTGGGTTATATATCCAAAGGATTATAAATCGTTCTGCTATAAGGACACATGCACACGAATGTTCACTGCAGCACAGTTTACAAGAGCAAAGACCTGGAACCAACCCAAATACCCATCAATGATAGACTGGACAGGGAAAATGTGGCACATATACACCATGGACTATTACTCAGCCATCAAAAACGATGAGTTCGTGTCCTTTGTAGGGACATGCATAAAACTGGAAACCATCATTCTCAGCAAACTGACACAGGAGCAGAAAATCAAATGCCGCATGTACTCACTCATAGGCGGGTGTTGAACAATGAGAACACATGGACACAGGGAAGGGAGCACTACACACTGGTGTCTGTTGCGGGGAAATAGGGGAGGGACAGCGCGGGGTGGGGAGTTGGGGGGGGATGGCATGGGGAGAAATGCCAGATATAGGTGAGGGGGAGGAAGGCAGCAAATTACACTGCCACGTGTATACCTATGCAACAATCTTGCATGTTCTTCACATGTACCTCAAAACCTAAAATGCAATTAAAAAAAAAAAGTGGCTGGGTACATGACTCACACCTGTAATCCCAGCACTTTGTGGGGGGCGGGGTGGAGTGCAGGGGCGAGACAGGTGGATCACCTGAAGTAAGGAGTTAGAGATCAGACTGGCCAACATGGCAAAACCCTCTCTCTAATAAAAAATACAAAAATTAGTGGGGCTCGGTGGCACATGCCCATACTTCCAGCTACCAGGGAGGCTGAGGCAGAATTGCTTGAACCCAGGAGGTGGAAGTTGCAGTAAGCCTAGATCGTGCATTGCACTCCAGCCTGGGCAAGAGTGAGACTCCACTGCAAAATAAATAAATAAATAAAAGTCAAAAGCAATTGCAACAAAAGCAAAAATTGACAAATGATATCTAATTAAACTAAAGAGTTTCTGCACAGAAAAAGAAACTATTATCAGAGCAGACAGACAACCTACAAATGGGAGAAAATTTTTGCAATCTATCCATCTCTGCCAAAGGTCTAATAACCAGAGTCTACAAGGAACTTAAACTTACAAGAAAAAAACAGCCCCATTAAGAATTTGGCAAAGGACATGAACAGACACTTCTCAAAAAAAGACATTTATACAGCTCTGCATACAATTTTTAACTCTCACATTTACTGTGTGTTAGAGTTTAAAATGGAAATGTACAAGGTTTTGACCTACATGTATTTTGTAAGAAACCAATCTATTGTTGTCCATTTTGCTATTAAGTGCACAAAAGTGTATGTTTTCACACATTGCCTATAAAATGTCAAAAAAAACCCAACAACAACAGAGGTTTTGGCTTGTTCTGCAACTAAAATTAATGTTCCTGTGAATATTCTGTACAACCTTCAAAAAGACAACCAAGATGAAGTGTAGTACCCAATATAACCTCCAGGGAAACTAAGTACTCTGAATTAAAAATTACCACCACATTATCAACA